AGCCTGAAGAGAGAGCACCTGTGTGCAGAAATACCTCCTTGCTAGCCTCAAGTCAAGATGTTTGCTGGAGCATCTTCCACAGGACCATGGTTTTGTCAGGGCTGCTGCACAGACCATTTCCCTGGCCTGAACCCCGAAGGACTGCTGCACAAGGCATTCACACCCCCCACCTCCTCGCCTGGCATCACACACCAGGACTGGATCTATGGCATCTCCGGTGGCCAACTCTCCTGGACTTCTGCAATGACACCAAGGAAAGAAGGGACTAATAAGGAAAACAGCTGGAAGGTGCCAGGAGGCTGTTGCTGGCATGGGGCAAACCATCTGATTTATAGCCTGCATTGAGTTGAAGCCACTAAAAAGTCATAGTAGTAAGTGTTTTGTTGTAGTGTAATACACTCATAAGCCATTAGTACTATGTAGGGAAGTAATTAATTTACCTGGATGTACTACAGATAGCTGTATAGGAAAACAGTTACACTGTCAAATATAAGGATGTTCTGAAGTGATCTTACAGGAGGAGCAAAGGTAAATCATAAACTGTAGCAAACAACCTCTTTCCTTCAATTGGTATTCACATACAATAGTTGCTTCTTTTTCCTGAACATTAAAAGTATTTATATGAAAAAAAGATGCATTCTCATTATAACATATTTTGAGACATAATAGGCTGCTATGACACTTAATGCAGCTTTCCCCATTCCTTACCATTCCCTTAGACACACAGCTGGGAAATGGTCCTCTCAGAAGAAACCACCCAGCAAAAGAAGCCCCCTCACTTCTCCCAGGATTCCTAGGAAACAAATAGTATGTGCCTCCACGGCTGCAACTTACCCACTGCAAAGTCAGAAATAGCAAGATTGAGAAAGTAATAGTTACTCCGATGCCTGAGGTTTCTGTCCGTGATGAAAGCCAGGATCACCAGCATGTTCCCAAGGATGGTGACCAGAGCTAGCAACACCATGAGGAAAGCCAGCAGCACCAACACACCCAGTGAAAACTCGAAGCTCGGTGACGGTGTGGACAAAGTCTCGTTATACATTCCAGCCGTATGTGGAGTTTCGGCCGTGCTGTTGTGCATGTTGTGTATCCAGGTCAGTTCAGTCGGGGAAGAAATTTGCATCTGGCAGAGTTATCCAAAAGGTTGAGATAAGTCTATTAACAGGATGGTCTGAATACTGACACATCCAAAGAAATCCGCGACATCAAAAAAAGGATCACAAAACTTCAAGGCCTGGAGACTCTAACATTCCTTGATCTGAATGCACCTATCGGTCTGAAGACAAAAATCTGTAAAAAAGACACCTCATAAGTAGCAGTAAGGGCACACTTTAAAATAAATTATCTCTTTCTCTCCTGAACGCTGATCCTTATCTACTGAGGTCAGAAAACTTAATCTGAAAACAACTCTTTTCACAGTCATGCACTTTGCATATTAGCATTGTGTAAGCATTTTTACACATTGAATTCTGCTGAAGCTAAAAACAGATCTCATTTTCACTTCCCCAGTGGCCAACAGGATTTAAATTATTACAATTCTATTTCTCTTCCGGTAAAATGTCGACATAGTTGCACTTGCTGCTATATCACTTAATAAATTTTACAGTTAAGAACATAGACATATTTCTTAATGCTGCTGATTACCGGGCATTTAAAATTCAGGTATACACAGCAGAAGTATCAGCAATACCTTTTCAGCTCATCCTAATCAGAAACAAGTCTAGCCCTGGGCACAGCAAAACAAATATGTGGACTTTGGGGGACCTTTTAAGCATGATCCATTTAATCCTCCACTTCCCAAGTAACTCCAGGTAAGCTCCCACTCCACAAAGTGCCAACCCCTTAGCCCTTTGCAAGTGTGAGAAGGTGTATCCCTTCCTCGTCACAATGCATTTATTTTGGTAAGAGCATACAGAAGTTGGCAGGAGACGGCTGTGACTCAGGCCTGCAGCTAACCAGCTCCGTAGCATCATGGCACACCCTGCAACCGGCTTTTCGGACTGCAGCCGTAGTGCTGGGTGCTTGAGAAGACCTACGGCAAGAAACAAGGAAAGAGAGGGTGGATGAGATGTGGGGAGGGGAGGTGTGGTGTTCTGATCCTGTCTTGGGGAGCAAAGGGAAATATATTGTAAAGAATAATTAAAGTAAAAAGTGTAGGGCAACAGGAACAGAAGAGACCTCAGGAAAGATAAAATGTGGCAGACAGACACCTGCCTTGGGTATAGGTGCATAAATGCAGCCTGGGAAACACACAGGAAGAACTAAATCTCCCTGCGCAGTCACAAAGCCACCAGTCACGAAGCCAGTGACACAGGTGACATGATGTTGGGAGTGTGTTGCAGAGCACCCTAATCAGAGTGAGAGAGGTGAAGTCTTTAAGCAAAACATGGAAGCCTGTGGTTCACAGACCCTGTTTCTTGTGTGGGACTTCAATGTTCATGACATCTGCTGGAAGGGCAGCACAGCAGGTACAAGCAGTCAACAAGATTCCTAGAGGATGTCAGCAAGAACTTTCTGGTACAAGTACTGAATGGGCCAACAGAGGTGACACAAGGCTAGATCAGCTGTTCACTGGTAAAGAAGAGTTGGTTAAGGATGTGTAATCAATGGCAGCCTAGGCTGTAGTGACTATGAGGTAGCAGAATTCAAGATCCTAAAAGGGAGTGAGGAAGGAGAGCAGCAGAGTACAGACCATGGACTTCAGGTGAGGAGACTTTGGTTTATTCTGGAAAGTGGTATGTTGGATCCCATGGGAGGCAGCTTTGAAATGCAAGGAGCTCAGGGAACCTGCAGGCCTTTAAGGACAGCAGCCTCCATGCACAAGAAAAGCCCATCCCAGCTCTCAAGAAAACAAGTGGACGTATCAGGAGACTGGCTAACATGGGAAGCTACAATGCAAAAAGGCAGCGTGGAGGAGGTTGGAGCAGGGACAGGCTGCAAAGGAGGAATTTAGAAATGTTGCCTGGCCACATAAGCATGACGTTAGGAAAACCAAAGCTCACCTATAGTTCATGCTTGTAAAGGACATCAAGGACAACATGAAGAACTTCAGCCCCCCCATTAACAGTAAAACGCTGAATAAGAAAAATGTAGGTGCTTTGTTGAATGGGGCCAGTGATACAGTGACAGCAGATGCTGGTAAGGCTGAGGTACCCAATGCTTTCTTTGCTTCATTCTTCACTAATTAGGCCACCCCCTCCTCCATGCTTAGTGAATGAGTTCAAGGAGGAGTCCTGTCAGGAGCAGGTAAGAATAAGGTAGGGATTACTTGAGAAGACTTCACCCATAAGAGTCCATGGGATGCAATGGGCTGCACCCAACGGTCCTGAGAAAATCAGCTACCATCCTTGTGAGGCCACTTTCTATCCTCTTTGAAAGGTCATGGAGATGAAGGGAGGTTCCCAACAACTGAAGAAAGGCAAATGTTGTAAATGTTGCAGCCATCTTCAAGTGATGCCATAAGGAAAAAAGGTCGGGCTGCCTTTGGTCCCTGGGAAAGTAATGGATCAAGTCCTCTTGGAAGGCACTTCTGAGAACTTGAGGGAGGAAAAGGTGACTGGGAAGAGTCAGCATGGGTTTTCTAAGGATAAATCATGCCTGAGCAACTTGGTTTTCTTCTTTGATGAAGTGACTAGATTAGTGGACAAGAGGAGAGTAGTAATTTGCTTTTAAAAATTAGTCAATAAATCCAATGTTGAAGTTTTAATCATAGACCTTCATGGGGCTGAGGGAGAAATCTATGTGACCTCTCCTTCCTTCCTTCCTGTGGGGAAAAACCATAGCCTAACATAAAGGAGACAGCCATTAGGAAAATCACTAGGGTTAAATACTCATCCCAGAAATAAACAAACAAACAAAAGATAACACAATTTCTTCCAACATATATGTTTTATTGGGGTGGGATTTTTTTTAAGACCTGAGAGGGTCAAGTTAGAAAAACACTGTTGTGGTTTGAATTGAACCTCAGTCGTATACTTACTGTTACCATGTATTTATAAGACCTATTGGACATCTGCGGAGACAGAAGAAAATTGAAGGACATGAAATGGTGAAATAGATGAGTGAGTGGATAGAGAGATTTGGCTTAGAAATCAACTTTGCAAAGTCCATTTGTGTCAGTGCATGAAAGGTACGCTCAAGAGCAAATGCTGAATAAGTATCTTACCATAAACCTGCAAAATGGCCAAAGGGAGGAGAAGACTTAGGATGCCACCTTGACCAAGACAGCTTTAATGCTGTGAGCACAGCAACTAAGTGCTTGACTTAGGCTGGGAGCACTGAGCAGAATTTTCAACAATCAGAAAAATACAACAAATTCTTCAAATATACAGAAGTGATGTGACAAAACAGTTTGAGCACTGTGTGTGTAATATAGAACATCAAAAACATTGATCTCTAGTAGCTCCACTGCTCTATGTGGTTTCAAATTTGCTGCACATTATGCTTCCTGACAAACTCTAGTTTTCCAGTGCTATAAAATGTGGGTACAGTTTACCTAGTCCATAATTTTGTAGGCCATTTTTCCAAAGTAAACCACACATGCTTTAATTACAAAACACAAACTGAATTTTTATATTAAAAGGATAGGGATAGAAAAGCAGACAACTCAAATACTTTCCCATTTTGGGGGCCTACCTACAGTTTCTCTGTTTAAAAGGTGTTTATTTAGTACATCAGCTATTCTATAAGTGTTTCAAAGGAGGAAGGGGGGGCTATGCCTCACAGAAAAGCAAACCCCACAAAATCTATGCTGGTGCCTTAACTCATGACAGTGAAAACAGCTGTGCTGAATCAACAGCCTCCTCCTGAAGCTGTATCTCTCATAGCCGTCAGGTTCACAACCCATAACGATGCCCACGTGAGGCAAGGAAGCATAATGAGAAGGAGTGGTCAAAGACAATCTTCCATCAATGTGAAAACTGGCATCAGAAGTCTCCAGTTCCAGACCTCTGAACAGAATGGCATTTGGGCTCCTCAAAGCCATCATCTCTTGTGCTATGATTAAGCTGTTTACATGCATTTGAATTGTGTTTGCAAAGGAGTACTCCGAGTACTGCCAATTTCAAATTAGATAAAAAATACTATTTAAATTGGTTATTGCTTTTCATTGTTCTGATTTCCTCTCCATATTTTATACACTTACATATATATATATATACACACACACAAAGAGGAAAGAAAATCATAAAAGGAGAGGAAAGAAAAATTAACCAGCGACTCTCACTTACCCATCCATGAAAGCCTTCTGGGTGAGTGGCAACACCCAACACAAGGCAAAAAAGTTTAGTACATGGAATGGATTATAATCAAGCTCCATTGCCTTCACCCGCTCCTTTCAGCACTGGATATTCACCTGCATCATTTATTAATACCTGCTTGAGACACCTCTGTGTCAGCTTTCAGATAGACCTCTGTGAATCCCATTATCAAGCAGTGAACATGGCCCTTGTTCAGTGATAGAAAAATCCAGTACGATATTGGTTCAGTGGCAGAGAAAATCCATATAACGTCACAGTAACAGAACACAAAGAACTGATCTAGTACAAAAGTCACTCTGTCAGTTCAAATTTGTTCCAGACATTTTGATGGAATATCTTTGCACTTGCAAAGCTTTACAGCCAAGAGGGTATTGTCTGTTCTTGCACAGCCAGCCCAAATGATAAATCCAGCACAAACTTTGTATTGCTTGCTCTGCTAATTCAACAGGGATGCGATCATGTGCCCAAGCCTGCCATATCTATTAGGTAATCAATTAGTGCACAAATCTGGCACTAAATATCATTTAAGCATGACCAAAGAGACAGCCACTGTCAGGAGAAAAGACAGTACTGGTGAAAAGAGTAACAACCATTTATGCCTGCAACAATTTTGATAACCAGTCTCAAAATTCCATTACCATGGAAACTTTCATTCTCTGAAAATCATCCAGAATTACTAATTTACATGTACTGTGTCCTGCAACACCAGGTATGGACTATATTAAAATTAGAAAAGGACAGATATGCCGTACTAGGCAGTCCATTCACTTGCGTATTGCTCACTGGGGGAATTACAATAATACAGGGCACTATCTTGTCTTCATAATAGCTTTCAAATGAAATTATACTGTTCCTGTGAGTATTTATACAACCTTTCAAAAATGCAGCAGAACTGCTTTTTCACTGATAGCTTTAGGTTAACAAATAGGACATAAATTTAATTCAAAACATACATAATCAGGTATCTCCCTCCAATGAACCTTGACAGAGATACATATAGAAGAGTTCTTTCATAGTACCAGCTCTATATAAAAAAAAAAAGGGAAAACAAAAAGTACCTAAAAAACCCAAAACAAAGGAGGACATAAAACAAAACTGGTTATTCTTCTCATTGCACTAGATGGTATATAACTTGGCATCATAGTAGCAAAACCAAAACCAAAATCCCGAAAACTGGCAAAATCAGGGCAAATACTTGCCTCTGCTGCACTTTTAACAAATGCCATTAGTAAACAAAGGTTTTTTCTCTATTTCTGTTGAAGAAATATGAAAAAATAGCACTAAATAAGAGAAGAATCTCTTATCTGCAACTCATTTATTTTAACTCTCTAAAAAGATGGGTTACGTGACCTCAATGCTGCAAACTTTTTGGGACATAATATTTTCATGAACGCCATTCGAAACCTCATATGACAGAGAGGGTAAAGAACTGGATTCAAAGAGGAATTGAGCCACAAAAGCCAAAAAGTTATTTCATACAAGGAGTTATGGATGCACGTTCCTTGGCAGGCCCCACGAATAATCATTAATAAACTGTATGGGGCCCAGCAAACGGCAAAGACACACACAATTATGGCAAGCGACTTCGCCCGTTTCTTGTCCCGCTGCAGTTTTGACCCAGTCCTGGAACGGAAAGAAAGAGAAAAGTCTCTTTTGAGGGCCGTGGGACTGGTTTGTTTTGGAGATGGACAGTTAGCCATCGCTGCTGGTCTCCATGACTTTGTTAATGATGAAACACTGTCTTCTGCTTCCGATGGAGGAGAAGATGCTCCTGGCCTTGGCAAGAAGCAAAATCTCCAGGACAGGCTGCGCCTCCTTGGAGGTTCGCAGTCCTGTGTGCTGCCACGCCGCTGGCACCTCTGGATGTTGTGGAAGATGTGCACATTGAAGTAGGTCACTGAGAGCAGCGGCGCGAAGAACTCCAGGGTTGATGCACCCAGGAGGAAGTACCAGTTGTCAAAGAACTCTGCGTAGCATTGACCCACTGCTACCACACTGTATCCGGCCACTTGCTCCCAGAAGAGGATTGCCGGGCAGTAGAGGAGGAAGGCCAAGACCCAGACAGCCACCATCTTGATGACAGGGTTGGATGTTATTCCCTGCTGGGCTCTGTAAGATACCTGTGAAGGAAAAGGACATGTCATGTATTCAGCTAACATTTTGGAAGCACTATCTCAAAAAAACATAAGCAAGCAAATCAAGTATACTATCTGTTCTGTAATTCCCCAGACACCTATAACATCTTCACTTATGTAAGGTCCTGCAAAACTCTGTCAGTCTTGCTCATCAACTACTATAGCTCTGTGATTGATTTTAATACTTGGGACTGAAGAGGAGCAGAAATTATGATGGCTAAACTACTGTTTGGCTTCCAGGTGTGAAAGGACATGACTTGTTTTCATCACCACCACAGTGAGGTAGCAATAAGAAATCAGTTTATGATTCATGAAATTCCCAGGCTCAGAGGAGAGTGAAAGCAGCTGTGGGACTTCCTTGCTGCACAAGCAAAAGTAGAAGCCTTCTGTATTAGACAGGTTGCCATGTGAGACTGCAAACACTCGACAATGCAATTTTTAATACTATCTAATTCTATCCCACACATACGCTTGAACATCCCTTACTTTATTGAAACATTTTCTTTTAACACTCACTTTACCTTGTAAACAGTTCACTGTATTACTGCAAATCGTGATGGTGTTACGTCTAACCAGACTGCATTAATTTATTTTACTCTCTACCTGTAAATGTCTATCTTTGAAAAAAAATATTAAGAATTAAAATAATGTCTTCTCAAGTTAGGACATACAAGAGTTACAACCGCCCTTGTAATAGCCCAGTCAGTATGTACAACACATACTTCTAGCTCTTGGTCCCCTGCACAAGATTATCAGTTAATGAGAAGCTGGACAATTTTGTTTTCTCTTTACTGTTCAATATTTGTCATCCCAGGCTTTACTCAGGCCCAGAACTACTACCTTCCTCATCAGCTTCCTATCCTGTTCATTACCATAGCACCTGCATGCCATACAAATATTAATAAATGGTTTCTTCACAACCACATATGACACAAGGACCATCCTCCCTATTTTACCAGTGAGTAACAGAGCAGTGATGCAGTGTTACACATGTTACTTTAGAGTCTCTGTTTTAATTATCTGTAGCCTGAAGATTCAGACTCCTTTGCATCCTAAAGCAACATATTGGCTCAGAGCACAGCTCCAGTTTTGCAGTAATGAATTTGCAGCCCTTTGCAAGACCGCAAGCACCTCAATTTAGTAGGTAGAAAACAGGAAGCTCAGCACAGCTTCACAAAAAGTTGAGTCTGAAATGACTGGCCCCCAGCCACAAGCCAGGTTTGCAGCAGAGGCAGAGGTGGATCCCAAGTCCACAAGGAAGCCTGATAACTTTTTCTTTTGTATATCAGCTCTGTGTTGCACAGTCCTGGATTCACTCTATCCTAATTACCTAGAGGAGAAAAACAGAATGTGATCATGTAAACGAAGACCATCAACAGTGCGTAAGAACATGGAGCTCAGTTGGATTGCAGAGGCCTTTTTAATTTACATTTCTCACATTCTGAGCTCTGCAATTTCATTAGTATTTTTCAATATTACTATTTCTTAAATACAGGGGTTTTCATACTTCATTGTTCAGCATTAAAAGAAAAGTAGCAACAAACAACTCTAAAACCACAACACTGGGGAAGAAGAGAAAGAGATTAGGCATTGTATCAGCACTTCCCAAACAAGAACCTCCTGATCTAACACAGCCCATGTCACTTGAGCTAGCAGACTCGTCAAAAGCAAAGGATGGTGATCATCTTCCATCTGGACCAAACACCAGGCAGAGCTTAGAAATGGTGAATGATAATATTTACCACTGGATTCCCCAGATGTCTTCTGAAGCAGAAGAATGACAATACTCAAGAAACACCTCTTACCCCTCCACATATTTTGAGTCATTCTCCTTTTTGCTTCAAGGGATCAGTTTCCACCCAACTGCTTGTTGGCAGTACATATCAATCACCCCCTGCAGATCCTCACCTGGTCTTCAGTCAGTCCGTCCTACATCTCTCTCCATACCCTCTTCTCTTTTTAAACTTTATACCAAGCCTAAACACATCCTTGACTCAACCTAGTTTCGTTACCACTGTTCTAATGACCAAAGCTGAAGTTCTCCACACTCTTGCTGCCCCTTTTCTATCTTGAGCTTCCCACCTCCTCTGTGGTGTAATTAAATAGTTTCTAATCCAGGCTGCAGGAGGGAAACGTTGAAATCATAGGCAAGGCATTGTGCTATCTCTAAATCCCAGTGCAACACTGAAGCATCAAAGTTTCTGCAGAAAAAAATGGTACAATAATGAAGGACTGTTTAACTTCTCGCGTTACTGTGAATGCTACAAGTTTATAGAAATCTCAAGATATATAAAGAAATAATTAGAAATGTTCTTCTTACCGCTTTAGTAACTGACAGGAAACGGTCATAGCTGATAAGGACGATGCTAAACACTGAAGTTGTGCACAGGAGATAGTCCATAACTAGCCAGAGCTTGCATAGGCTTCTTCCCAAGTGCCATGTCCCTGTCAGGGCATAAGGGATGTAGAGAGGCATGCAGAACACACCTATGGAAATAAACCAAATGCACATGTCAGTCGGCACTGCAGGCAGTGCTCATGAAAGCAAAGAAACCTTCCTGCGGTATCTGATAAAAGTGCAATAGTAGCTGGAATTGCCATGTGGAAGGCAATGCATGCATGCAACCAATGCATGCAACCAATGAACACGTGACCCCAAACTAGGCACCGGTAACATTCTTATAATTAATACCTTTCTGAAAGGTGCATCGTGTTCATTGTGTATCATTATTACTTCTCCTGTTTGTATCACCTGCTAAAGGAGGGAGGAGCTGACTTTTTCACCTGCTGAAGTAAACACTATTCTGTGTCTAGCTACTAGAATTAAAACAAACAAAAATATCTCTCGCCTAATGTAATTTACTGTTTTCTACAATAAACAATCTAATTGCCACACTTCTGTCCTCTGAGAAGCATGATACGGTGTCCAACAGTGCTCCAGAAGCAACTTTTATAGAAATACAAGCTGAATTTCAGACTAATCTTTAAAACTATCTAATCAGAAGGCTGACAAAAACTGCACAGTTAATTAAGTACATCCAGTCTAGCATTTCTTCTCATCATAATTTTTCTTCATAACCACTTTTCAGTGGTGACCTGATAGGGTATTATCTAGGGGAACACACCAAGCGGTGGGAACGTACCAAGCGGTGGGAACGTACATGAGTGACCCGCACCCATGGCTATCTAAATTTAAGCTGTTAAATCCGAATGTTGTGAAAGAGCCAATATGATCTCATTTTAATGGATTTCTAGGTGATTACACTACACACAGTCACAATGTAGCCCTGCAAGGCTGAAGAGTGAGCGGTGTCATTTGCTGCGACACAGAAATGCAGTCAACAGCATCAACTCTGTAATGAAATGGAATCACTGCTTCTATGGAGAGATATATATAGATATATATATAAACACTTGCTCCCTCCAGCAAAAGGTTATATTACACATTTTAACATTCAGAGGGGGGGAAAAAAGTGTACTGTTTCAATCTTAGATTTGCTTCATGATAGTGTGTACTTCTGCAACAGGTACCAATGGGTTTCCTTTTCCCTAAAAATCTTACAATTCCTGTTATTCTCCCTCTACTAAGAATCAAGAGATCTCTATCCAAATCCAGCTATACAGAGATAAATCAAAGGTTGTTGAAGGTCAAGATCAGATAGATTAAATATACTAAAAGAGTAAGCAAAGGGCTCTGCAGGCATGAAAGTGTGTGCTTTTAGCAATTAGGATGAAGTAGAAATTAAGGATAATCTAAGCGTATCCTGAATCTAAATAAGTAGCTACAGAACTACAAACCAGTTTGACTCTAAAGTATGCAAAATTGTGACCAAATTTAGAACAAAAAACTAGATGTTCAGGTAAACATATTATCATGAAACAAAAATTTATGGAAGTGGGATAATGCCAAGCAACCTCGACTTCCTTCTTTGACAGAGGACGTTATCTACTTGGTGCTTCTCAGCTAGATGCCAGTATTTGTTCAACATGGTGTTAGACTGTGAGCAAGATGACAGAACACCACGCTGTCCCCTGGCTTTCTGTCACCGCTGTGGTTTTTCCCCCTGTGTATGGTAGCCAGGCAGCAAGAGCTCTGTGGCACAATGAGGCGGTTATAAGCTGGAAGAAGACATCATCCATATGGGGGAAGGGATCAAAACATTATACAAGGAGATCTGGACGTCACGAGGACTGGACTATTAGAAGCCATCCCCTGTAACAGAATTTCTGATACTGGCAATAAATGTTAAGAACAAAAACAGTTTCTTCAGTTCTTTTAAAACGTGTAGGTAAAAGAAGTAGCATAAAAACAGTTTCAAAAGATTTTGTTGTGATGTGATGAATCAGAATACAGGTTTCATTAAATAGCCACACCTGTTTAAAACCATCCTTCTGCCTACTTAATAATAATTTTAAGACTTTTACCAGAGAAACTCAACATCTCACTAGTGTTTTAATTGTACTCTTTCTCAGTACAACTTTCAAAATAAAATGCGTCCCTGTGTTTAAACATATACCATGAAACTTCTAGAAACTGTTTGATTTGTTATTTTTATTTACCTATAAAAACACATATTGCTAACATATGACTAGACAGAGCAAGATGCTTAAAAATACTACTCAGCGCTATTTAGCTGCAAGCTTCAGGTGATTATCTGTATTGTGTGAGAGTAGATTGAAACAGAAGATTTCAACCACGTATGCAAGATCTGCCAGATAATATATGTTGTATTCAATTTGACTATCTAGACTTTAGTCAAGACTCTTCACAAACAACTCCCATTCTTTGTCATTCTACATTAATTCACACACGGTAGTATTTTTTTCTGAAGTAATAACATAAATCAGTACCTGTTAACCTAGCAAAGGATCCTCTTATGATAATATATTTCTGAAAAATAGTAGACTGCTAAGACACTTAATGCAGCTTTCCCCATTCCTTACCATTCCCTTAGACACACAGCTGGGAAATGGTCCTCTCAGAAGAAACCACCCAGCAAAAGAAGCCCCCTCACTTCTCCCAGGATTCCTAGGAAACAAATAGTATGTGCCTCCACGGCTGCAACTTACCCACTGCAAAGTCAGAAATAGCAAGATTGAGAAAGTAATAGTTACTCCGATGCCTGAGGTTTCTGTCCGTGATGAAAGCCAGGATCACCAGCATGTATGTGGAGTTTCGGCCGTGCTGTTGTGCATGTTGTGTATCCAGGTCAGTTCAGTGTGGGAAGAAATTTGCATCTGGCAGAGTTATCCAAAAGGTTGAGATGCATAAGGAGTATAAACAGGATGGGCCAAAAATCCAATAAACATCCAAAAAAATTGACTCAGGAGAGCAAAAATTAAAAGGTTCTGATGCTAGATAAATCTAGCTTTCCTAAGATTTTGTAATTTTAATAAATACCAATGCATCTGAAACCATGTATATCTCTAGAAGTTACCAGTAAGAAATAGGTCGTTTTTCCAAGCTCATATTTTAAAATGCAAGTTCTTCTTTATGCAACCTGATCCTTATCTGTGGATCCTTATCAGGAGGACCGATTTGAGAATATCTCTTGCTTTCCTCCCTTCCTCATTCCCTCCCTTGCAGAAAAGTTTTGCTTGTTAGCATTACAGATGTCAATGTTTTCTGGAAATTGCTCCTTAATTGTACCCACCCTTATGAGAATGTAAACCACTTTCTAATTTCAGCCTTGTTTATCTAGTGTCACTGTATTTGGGCAAGCCTGTGGTCCCTCTCTATTGCGTTATGTATTTTTGTTGACCAAAGGCACAGTTAACTTTTTTGTTGCTGTTCTTGTTCCTCTTTCTGTGGACCCTAGGGCTGAATCCTGATATGCTGTAAGCAAGCATATATACAATTACTCACGAGAGCAGTTAACCAGTAATGGTCCAGCCCTCAGAGATGTGACACAGCAGCGGCTGGTACTGTCCCAGAACCAAGAAACAAAATACTGACTCCCTGAATGTGAATGAGAGCTTGGCAATTAACTTTAATAGAACGAAGCTTTTCTTCCCACACTGGTGGGAGAAATCGTGTTTTCCACAAGTGCTTATACTTTGTATGAGTAATGAAGCCCCTTGCAGAGAGCTGTGAGTATTCCACAGTTATAAAAATTCAATCATTTTTATTATGGGTTCTAAAAACACTTCGGTGTCTAATTTTAGATACTTAAATTTGAAAAATGTTGGCTGTCATGTCTGTGCTTCTGTTGTGGGAACAAATTCATTAGCATTATCCAAGTGCTTTTACTAAATGTTTGAATGGCAGCAGTACAAAAAATGCAAAACTTTATTATCCATACAAATATCTTCACAGCATGCATGTCCATTACTGCTTTAAGCTTTATTTTGTTTCCAGGTAATGCTGAAAATGGAGAAAACACACTTTGGCAATGACTACTAAGTAATACCACTAACCTTTCTTCTGCTTGCAATTCTGAAGCTGATCTACATGACATTTTCGAGGTCCAAGCTATTATGTGGCTGAAAAGAAAATAAAAGTGGTGAACAAATGTGAGCTCAAATTAAGGGTTCGGCCAAGCCTATATCCTGTCTGCCTCAGCTGCCCGTAGCCTAAGAGTGTAAGAACATGGCAGAATGTTCTGCTGGTGTGCTCCCCGTGCCTCCAGTGACTTGTGGCTCAAGGTGCCAATGTGAGACCAGAAGTGACATTCGATCATTTTATTTTCAGTTTGTCTTCTAAACTGTCACCTTCTTACCCCAAGAATTTCTACTTCTGCACTTTATTAATAAAAGACATCACAGGGCTTCTATAGGCCCCTGAGGAGGGTAACAGTCCTTCTGTGATTGCTTCTCTGTATTCAAATCCAGGGAACAGCCAGAAAATTGCCATGCATACTGCCAAATCATGGATCCTATATAAACTCTTAGCCATGGCCCAACTACCCTTTTTCTTTCCTCATACCTAATCCAACCAGTTGTTTTTGACTGTCTCACCTTACCCTGGGAGCAACAGCTCGCTCCTGTGCACTCAAAGCCACAATCCCTTGGTAAGAGTCGCTGAACGTAGGGCAGCGCCTATGCACACAATGTACCTGCCACAAACCTGTCAGTGCATGCTCAGAAACTGCTCTGACATATCCTAGAAGAAAATACGTAAAAGGTTTTCTTCTCTTAGACACGGGGCTGCTTGCCCTCAGACAGAAAGGGGTCCTGGAACATGTTTTCCCATCCCAGTAACACTCCCCCCTTTTCAATTGCAGAAGAGGGGTGAAGAACCAAGCTCTTAAGTATTCTTTTCTACTGGAAACTTTCAGATATACTTTTGATTCCTAACTTGTCCCTGAATGGCCAGAAATGCCAGCTTGAGCTGGTAGGCTTTCTACAGACTGGCATCTATGATAAATCAATGCACAGCCACCAGTCTCAGAAGAAAAGGAATTTCTTACAATCTCCTGAAAGCACTATGGGAACCAAAAGGCTAAAAAAAAAAAAATCTTATAGAAGCAGAAAAACTGTAGATCCAAACTGTTCCAAAAGAATATCTTTCTGTAAAAAACACACAAATAGACAAGCCGTGAGGCTGAAAGCCACTATTTGTAGCAACTGCAGTTAAAACTGGATCCTCTTAAGAGCAAGGCCCTTAGACAAGTTTTATGCATTTTTTCTTCAGTAAGAATCTATGCTAAAATGATTAAAGCCACAGTGGCAGTTAAGTTACTGATGTACTTTGCAACTACTGTGCCTTAGAATGGTGCAACTACAGCTCTTTGCAAAAGTGAGTACAATGTTCTGGACCCTTTTCTTCTCCCTCATTTTGCTTTACAACGTATAAATAGAAAGGTTCTCATTGTATCTTAACTTAAAATCTACAATGCTGAGGAACTGAATTAAAAGGTTATTATCAGTATTAAATAAGGAGGCTGCCCACATAATGGCTTCCAAGATATGACGACCACATCCTCACTTTTGTATCATGCAAAAGATTATCACTGGTTTAGTACACGTACATACAGCTATGCTACACCTTGTTAAGGTCAGATACAGAGAAGAATCTAAACAATTAAGCTAAAAAGTACGGTATCACTTTGAATTCCCTGCTTCTCTTTGACATTTTTATTTATTGCTGCAAGAATTAAAGAGTAATAAAGTAAATTAAAGAGTAATAAAGTAAATTAAAGTGCAATAAAATTTAGCAGTCATAGAGTCCTCTGGGAACCTGGAAATTCTGGGCTGCACTTCTGGTCCAAGTAGACTCCCTCTGTAACTTTTCAGTCTGTTACTTCATCTCTTTTTTCAGTTATAGTTCAGTTTCCTCAACTCTAAGAGGAAGGTAATGCATAGCGAGCTTCTCAAAACCTGAGGGAAATTCTGCATTGATCAATAAAGTATGTTAGTGGAAGAGAGCAAGAGACACCCTCCCAAGTACCTTCACTTAAGCAAGTAAGCCAGATTTCACAGCCTCCAGAATCAAGCTGAAGACAGGATTCATGCTAGCTGAGCACCCTACCCACATACTCTTCAGTCTCAAGAGGAGATTCAGCAGCTTCATCAGTTTTCATGAGAAACAGCTGACCTTGCCAAATGGCTTAAATCAGGGTGCTTTCTAGGAGTACATAGCTACCTAATTCTTTTCCATCTCCCACCCTCAACATTTCTTTTTGGAGCTAACTTAGATCTAACTTGGTTTCTCAAAATCTTAGATAGATCTAACTCTTCCACACCATGCTTGGGAAGTCTGTGTGCAGCAGGGCACCTAAAATTGTGGATGCTACACTCAAGTGCCTTGCCAACGTACCTCCGACACCACAGACCTATTTCGCGTGAGTCATGATGCCATGTAACTAATCTGCTCACATCCAGAAGATAATCTACACCAGTCAGCAAGTTTTTTTTAAAACATCAGCAGTATAAGTGGTTTAATAGAAGATCCGATACGTAAGCTTGCAGAATTTTTTTGCATGGCTACAACTATGATTAAACCAGTCTAGAACACATCTAGCTAGGAAAAAAATATATCTCAAGTAGATAATAAACTGCTGATTTTCTACTGACATCAGGGCAGCATATGAACTGTTCAACGATAACCCTATGAAAAGATACCGAATTTTTATTCAAACAGACATGCTAGAAAATAAGCACATATCACAGATTAATACATCAAAGGGATCCACAAGTAAATGCTCCAGGTTTCTCTTTCCTTCCTCCTTCCCCAGGCATTACACAAGAACACATACTAAACAGTAAAAGAACACCCTGAATTACCTGCTTATTGAAGTGTTCTGTCTTTGCAATTTCAAGAAATTACAAACAGTCCAGAACTGCTATGCTGTGATTAGAGGGACTATTATCTTCACTTTTGAAAGTCAAGGGCAGTAGATTTTAAAAAATAAGTGACCTTTCCATATTTCAGCATGGATGATTTCCAGAATATATGGTAGGACATTTAGATTAAATGTTCTGTCTCATCACCACTTCTTGAAGACAAGTTTGTAAGGATGACAGTTCTTCTCCATTGCTCAACTGCCTTGAATATATTATTTCAAGTCTCTGTTTTACAGAGAAACCACCTGGCAGTTCTTCAGAAGGCACTTTGCTAACAAAATACCCCAATTAGAGACCAGATATAAACTCCAGCTCTTGGTCCAGTCACTTAATTTGAGCAACAAAGAAAAATAAATCATTCTGATACTACCTTGTAGGAGGCTGGGGTCATGTAATGGCTAATCTGGTTTCAGCCGTACTCCTGATTCATTTCCAGAAGAGCAAAGTGAAAACAGTAAGAGAGAGACAAGACAACACAGTGGCAAGAAAGATTAAACTGAAGTCACAATCCACCTTTTTCTGCTAGTGTTTGATTCTTTGCGGATGCATTTTTATGACAGGCAACTGTACTTTAGGTATGGATTAATGCTATAATCCTTTTTTTTTTTTTTCCTCTCCAGGTAATGACATTGGTAATTCTTCCACAAGTAGGGGATATGTATGCAGCTTATATTGTCTTAAACAAATTTACAAAAACTCACTGTTAAAACTGCTGCTTCAGTTTAGCATTATATATTCTATCAGGACCTTATTTTTAAAAAGTTAAAGTTGTTGCAAGCCACTCTTGTAATCCCTTTTCCTCACTGCATCCTTTGCTAGTTCACACACACATAATTTGTTTAACACAATCTGATTTCTCATCAGGTTGCATTGTCAAGTTCTGGACTGAAGGACTTTAGCGCTCCATTCTGATTGAGTTGATTTTCAGTACATTCCTTATTTATAAACCTTTAACTTGCAGGGAAATGTTAAACCATCATAGTTTACATTCATAAACAAGATTATTACATTGCTTAGTGGTAGGAGTTTAGAATATTGGTATTTATAGTAATGCATTTAACAGGAGGATGGAGATTGCGTCCCCAACTTAAGTCAAAAGCAAACGCTGATCCCACCTTTGCTACCTGGTAGGGGAGGAAGCTGTGCCAAATCTAAAGCAGATCTCCCGTCAGCGCACTTCAGATAAGAGTGCAAAACCTCCCTCCTTTCCCACAGTCAGGGGTACTTTTGCCGATTCTGCTTAACTTCATTTCACCACAGAAACATGAAAAAACAGTCACACATACTTAACAGAAAAGGCAAACTTTTCTCTTTTCCGCACAGACACATAGCGAAGGCTGCAACTTCTCTCCTAGTATTTGTAAACCATGACAAAACCTTACACCAAAATACAAAAAGATGACTCACGTCAGCAACATAAAAACTAAATGGTTGTTAGTTATCAAAAATGACAGGGTTGTTATGATTACAAGGAGTTGTCTGTTTTGCTCTCTTCATATTTTTAATTAATAAATGAATACCAATCTAAAATTACTACACAGTTTAGAGAAAAAAAGATGTCAGTGCTTCCAGCCCGTTCAAGAGCAACACACTGCCTTCAGAATAACATACTTGAAAGGCTCGTACTTCAGTGTTTCAAACTTCATCAGAGATACCAGTCAATCCAAGGCTAGGCTACAGGAACCTGCAACTTCACCAATATTATAAGTACACAAATAAGTATAATTTTGCTTGTTTTTTTTTTTTTTTTTTTTTTTTAAAAAGACACCTGCATGGTTTTTTTGAGCAACAGCTTGTGGCCTCAGAGCACCAGTGACTTAGGAAGGAAGCCAGCTGCTTGTAAGCATAAGCTGACTTGTTTTCTTTCTCAGATTCTGGGGGACCTCTGTTCTCCATTAAGAGAAACAAAATGTTTTCTAGCCCAGTTTCTAAAGAATTTAGGTTCTTGATTTCTTTGTTAACAAGCCAAGTGCATTATAGGCAATGATGAAAATGTGAGGACCAAAATATATTTTGTGTGTCTGCTGCTGCTCTGCTCTACAGGCGGAATAAGTTATTTGTGTCCTTTGGTTACCAGTCCCAGTGTGAAAACACTCTCAACATCTCAAGGACTTCAACTGCTGCATCAGTGCTGAGTTTTTGATCCTGACATGTAACGATCACTGCTGCTCTAACATTCTCTGAATTACAAAGCAGAAACAATTGTATGCAGTTAAACGACGGGATACAGCCTCCTTGAAGCATAGCTAATGGTCAAAGAGCAAGAATCAGAGGTTCTTTAGGCCATGAGGCACGGCTGAGGCATCGCGCTCAAAGGAAAGGACAAAATCCCGTGTTGCAAAACTCTTCTGGAAAGCCACATAGAAAACTTGTTCTTAGAATAAAGGAAGTTTAAACTTAGGAAACGCTTATAAGCAAAAATAGGAAGAGAATGCAACTTCTCTAAACAAAAGTGTCTGCAAGACAGCTAGCCAGCACTTCATGTTCTCTCTGAAAGAAATAGCATGAAAATACAAACATATTCCCACTTTCATGGTCTGTTTCCAGCTGTTTTATGGGATAGGGGATTCATTTTTCTCACTGATTGGATGACCTATAAAGTCTATTTAATTTACACAGCAAGTGGTTATCAACAACTTGTTTCTTCCATTTTGGGGCTTTAGTTTTTGCTGAAATACAACACTAAAATATGAGATTCTTGGGGACAAGAATCAATACTTCCTGAAAAAAACAGTAATAAAAAAAATAAAAATAATCAGACACCTAGCTTTTGCATACCTCAGACTGAATACCCCAAAGTTCAGACCTTCAAAATCACTTGTTGATTCTGAGCATTTGAGCTTAAAGGATGCTCTCTGGAAAAAGAATACGTGTTACCATGTGAGTGGAACTGACACTTGGGCAGCTGTAGCAGAACATCTCGCAATTTACCCGCATCCCATATTAAGTAAATGCTACAATTTCAAACTTTCATAAGAGCAACAAAACTTTGGGATACTTATGTTAATAAGGTACTGGAAGTGAATGGCAAAATAAAAAAGCCTATCAATAAGATAAACTATGAACAAGAAATACTTGCATGACCCAAAAAGTGCAGGACTACTACATACTGTAATATATGGATCTCCTGCCCTGGGCCAAATGCCATTTTATTATTACAATTACAAATGCCAAGGCTGAACCCAGAAGAGCTTTACTATGCAGACAATGTAGTTGCATAAAATTGTTTCAATAAACCAATGCAGGATCTATCTGCCAGAGAATCAGTGGCTTTTTTTTTTTTTTTTTAAACATGTATTTTAGTGGTACTTTTCAAGTTACTGAAATTCTTAAGAACTATCTCTGTTGCTGCATCAAACTCTGGAATAGTTACTTTGATTAGATAAAGTTTGCCTTAGGAAAGGTTTTCTGGGGTACCCCTGCTGGAGAACTCTAATGATCAGGTCAGTGTAAGAATATACTGTCAAAAAGACGTATACCGAACTGCTGGTAAAATAAGCTGATCTTACAAATACACCTTTAATCTATAAGTGCCACTAGAGAAATGTCATTAAAAATAGTCACAGCCCTGACATTACTATATGAGCAAACTCTGTAAGCTGTACCTGACCTAAGAAAGCACCCGTGATTCAGCTAATAATTAATGGATCACAAAGTTTAGAAATTAACTTGAGAAGAAAAAAAAAAAAACAGCTCATCATCCCTCCCAAAAGGAAGATATCAAGGGAATGTAAAAAAAAAATAAAAAATCTAAATCTCATCTATATAGCAATATGACAATTAACTGATAAACGTTCTGTTAATCTTTTTGTAATGCATTAGACAAAAGTCTGGAAGGTATTAGTAAGAGTAGAAAATCCAAGTGTTTGTCATCATATCATTAACACTTGTTTCCCCCGCCACACTCTACACCAAAGGAAGTCACTTGAGAATGTTTACTCATGTTCACTACTAGCTGCACAGTCTGATTTCAAAATCCCCATAGTCTTTGTTGAAATCACTGGTTCCTTTAATTATAGAACACTTAATTCTCAGCTTTTTAACAGGCTCCTAGATTCCCAGCACTCACAGCACAATCCTCCAAGGAATTTTGAAGTAGTTTCTTTACATTTCTTAGTTCATCACCCGCATTCAGCCTTTCTTAGGTCACCAGGCAGGCCCTATCTAGCATGACCAAGAGCTGCATAGGCAGGACCAGGCCTATCTAACACACTTTAAGTGACCTTGTCTATGAATGACTCCAGTCTTACCCTCAATACAACCATCTAGGGGATTAAATTACAAGACAGGTGTTTTAGTTTGAACCCAGGAATGGAGAAGATAAGTAATCCACATTTTAAATTAGCCAACTGTCATTGGGTGGGAGGGGGAAATATTTGGTTCCAGATGTTACAATGCCCTCCAAGCAAGGAGCTGAAACATGTAAGAATACAGAAAACTTGTGTTTAAGCTCTACTTCACAACGGCAGGAGAAATCACAGAACAAGATGAAAATTTATCTATAGCTTTACTGAATTCTCTTTTGAATACAAAATGTATTGGATAAGGCAATAGTGTCCCTGTCTTCCTTGTATAAATATGTGCAAAATACTCTTTTATAGTTTTAAAAAATAAATTAGTGTTCTGTTCTCTTCTTGTTGTCCTTCCTTATCTTCTTGCTCTTTCCTGCTTGTTTCGATGATTCTTCCTGAAGTGAAAAACAAGCATTTCAAAATTTAATCAACATTCTTATATACTGTGAACATTCTCTCAAGGTCAACCATGAGAATTATTTTTAATATGAACAGTGTTCATAGTCCACTGGGATATACAAAAGTTTTGAGTTATGTAATATTTAACCACTTGGTTTCATTAATTTGTCTGCTCATCTTGCTATTTAGAAACTTCTGCCTTCAGCAATGATAAAATTATAGACATAGCTACACAAACAGAAGTATATAATGTAAAAATAATCTAAGCCATTTCCACTCAAGGAAGGGGTTACCAGTACATCTACACTATACTGGAAAACTGCTTCGTGTGTGGACGTGGCCGTATCAAGACATATACTGTACACCAGTACATTAAAACCACATCCCTAAGTGAAACAAACCTACAACTGGGAAAACCAAAATTTTGCCAGTCTTGCTGGGTTAACGTTGTAATGTACAGCTTACTCTGCCAATTCTGAAAAACAAGATTTTTTTTTTCTTCAGTAGGCATTCAATCGCAGGCACTCCCCAAAACAGTGAAGGAATGTGCCACTACATCTGACAGAACCCAGGATATTTTGATCTTCTCCCTTCTTCCTCTTGCACATGGGAGGGAAACAGACTTTAACAGGATGTTTGAATTCTGCTATTCTGAAGAGAGTTAGCTAAAGGAATACTTTTTCCAAGAGCCACGTTTGTGGTACTAGAATAATAACTACCGTAAGTTCCATCTGTTCTTTTTCTGATGGACACTGGTAACAAAATGTGTTAATACACAATAAAAAAAATACAGTCTGATTTAAGTTGTTAACAATAGAAAAAAAGAGAAGTAATTCTGGGGACTAAACCTCCTCTTGAGGATTAATGCTTAAAAGTCCCGTTAGTTTCCTTTCATTTTATGAACAACACTTTCAAATAAGAGAACAGTGATAAACTGCCAAGAAGGTAAATCAGTAAGTATATACAAGCACCTCTAAAATACAAAAAGCGAATAACTGAAAAGTGCAGGGGCAGCAATGGGGAAGAACGTTCAGCTTTCAGCAAAAGCACCCTTCAGTACTTTACTATAAAAAGCAAAACTGACTGTTGCATACTTTCTCAAGCATCCATTAGCAATTATTCCCTGCTGTCTTAAACTTTGTTGTTAGCAATTACATACATGTACATAGACATATCTAATATGCTGTTCTGAGGATGAAGAAAAGAAAGAATATTAGATGATTCAGTGACCTAAGTCTCTTAAGAAGTAAAGAGACATTTAGAACTTTGTCTCCTGAGTTCTTTAAGCTCCCTTGAAACATTTTCCCTTAATCTTTTCTGCAACAGTTAACGTTACTTTGTTTGAATTCTTTTAGGCTAGATTTTTTTAAAATGCTGTCTATCATCTAGAATTCTGAAAACTTCTTTGGGTCTAACAAAGCTCTCAATTTTTAAAAGCCTACTGGTTACAGTGATTCCTAAGCTCAGTCTGCCACACACTAGAACTGGTGACACAGATAAGCGCAAGAAGCAGCAGCTTCCAGTTTTCTAAACACACAGAAAGAGGCATTTCACCTTACCATCCTCCCCCACCCTTCAAATTTGTGTTCTGGACCAATGTCCTCAGCAGCTGCCACCCTTGTATTGCGCACCTCACACTTACAAACCAGGTCACCAACTTCTTCGGAAGTTCTTCGGGAGTCTTTGCACTGATCCTGTGCGTACTATCAGTGTATCAAAGCAACCAGAGGATGACACAGGTAGTATTACTTTTCTCCCGGCTTCACCTAACAGTGACAATTTACACAAGTTCACATGCAAATGCCTTCATTCTAAGTGGCAGAAACTTACCACTGAATGTACGTAGTTGTATTCCACAAGTACATTTCTTGCACAATTGTTTATATGTTTAAAACGATCTGGTCCTAAGAGAATACCTCCATACCAGCGGGATACCACGACTAACACATTGTGGACGTTCAAAATCTGTTTAAAAAAAAAAAAAAGCAAAGAAAAAAGAAAAAAGTTGTTATTTTTTCCTTGAACTAGTTTTATGGTGGACACCCATTTTAAACATAGAAAAAGTCTAATATCTTGCATTTTTAAGAACTTACTGTCAGGTCCGTGTCACACATGTTATTATCAGAGGGTAACAAATAATGACAAGTCAGCAGTTGTAGTAAGTTTCCCTCTCCAAGCTCCTACCCAAAGACAAATTCAAAGTGAAATGAGTTAACATATCCCTCAGAAAGGGCACAAAGCTATCTCATGTGCACTACAGTTGCTCATTCATGTGTCAAAGGCTTCAAGCATTATTTAAAGGGAAAATTACTGAGTTACATTTACTTTTCTCTGACATGATGAATTATTATTTCCAGAGAACCTCTGTCACTAAGCAGATTGTCTATCCACATTTTTGGAAGTGTTGGTGGATGAGGCTAATAAAAACCTCTGCATTTTCCAAGTTTGAGTCTTAGTCCCTTACAACCAAGCAGTTGCTTTCTCAATTCAAAAAGGAATATATAAAGTTTACACAACATGAAATAATTGTATTAGCAATTAGGATTGAGAGGAACTAAACAACCTTTATATAGCTTTTTTAAGACTGTAAGTAACAAAACTAAGTACAGAGCTTAATAGAAGGCATGATTTCTTCTACTGCAATTAAAAGCAAGAAACATGGAAGGCCTTCAACAGCTTTACTTTTCGCAAAATCTAAATGTGACTTGACTAGACATGAAAACTAGCATTTATTCCATCTTACAGCAATTCTGTGCTCAAGATGTCCCCATCATCAGCAAACACTAGTTACAAAGGGAATGCCAATTGACTAAACATCAGAGAGAAACACACACACTGTCAAAATACAAAAGATAGACATTACTGCATGGAAACATGTAGTGACGATCAGCAGTTAGCATTTTTGCTCAAATCGGTCTTGCATGATTAGTGACCACAATCCCACATTTGTCCTTCAAACTAAGGCATCTGAAATCTCTGTAGAAGGTCTTCACTTATAAACAGCTTTCTCTCAAGTCCCATGCAGTGCTACGCTAATGCATACAGATGGCTTGGAGCCAGACAGAGCAAACACAGCTTTATTTGCACACAGTTGAGCAAAAACACCGAGGTCTGCAAGGTCTCGGGGTGGTCTGGTGGAGGTGAGAAAAATCTTTTAAGAGCTGGCTATCAATAAGCCATCTTAACAACCACTCATTGTCTCTGTTAAGGAGAAAGATATATATATTTGACTCATTTGAACAATACTATTAGAAGATTCTGTCATTGTTTGTGAAAACAGAAACATTTTAGAATGTTAAAATGAAAAGGATGATTAAAAAAAAAAAAGAAGGATTGGCACAGGTTTTGTGACAGGCATTTTCTACTCTACATTTACATATCGGCCATAAAGTCTATGTATAGTAACTGTTCACAGTAAACAGGATGCCAAACATAGTTGGGAAAGTTTTTTAACTCTAACTTTACGTTCGAAAGAATTAATCTAAAATACAGTTTCTTGTAACCGGAAAGTGCTATCTTGACTGAAGTGCTAGGTTTATCTGAAACAAGATAAGATTTCTATTGCAAAAGAACTGTAAGTACAGCAACAATAAATGTTTTAAACCACCTAATTTTCTTGCCCATATGATATGACACAAGTGCTTATAACAGAAAAACTACAAGACCTATGAACATCTAGAAATCGGCCCATAAACTACTTTAATATTTTCCTATGAGTGAAAATTGCACTTTTCTGATCCCTACAGCAGTACTCCTCCAAAACAAAAATATTCCCAGTAACTAGGACTACAGATGGAGAGATGATCCATCAATTTAGACACATTCACATTTGAAAGGGGAAACTTCATGTCACTTTCTAAACTGATTTTTATGCAATGTTAAGTACCTAGACACTAAGTCTGACAACTTTCAAAAGTATACATTAACATGCTGAGAAAAAGCTGATAAGCTCAGAACAAGTTGAGGTACAGTAACTGCAAAGTTGTTTCTTTACATTATTTTTATTACAATAATGTTTTCACACTTACCACATACACTTGCATATATTACATGAGGTAAGTTTTCCTTCCCAAGTCAGGTTTGAGTAACTTAGGAAGTTTCAAAAAGTTCTAAATGAAAAATGTCAAAATATTTCCATCAATGATATTTGTTTCAGAAAAAAAAAAAAAGAAATCTTTGGAATAAAAAAAAAAAGCTGTAAAACAGTCTCCAGGAATAAGAGCATAACACAGAATACGCAAGTAAGCAAAGGATGGGAAAAGAAAACCCTTGTTGTGAAGGGGACATCAATCTAAAAGTGAAAACTAAAACCAGCAATTAGTGTGATGGTATAGCTAAGCAACTTAAGGCACTGCATAAGATGTACCCATCTGTCCCCTGTAGTTATGATATTTTACTTATGGTTTTACGAGGGCTTGCATCATGCCAGAGAATCAAAATTTATCAATCTCAATTCACATTTAGCAGCAACTTCACCGAGGGAATATTATTGCAACACTTGAAAACTAAAATGTACCTGAGTATGAGGGCTAAGGACCCAGAATTGGAAACAGCATGAAGAAACAGATTAAATGATCAAAGCAATTTAACTCCTTCACTCACTCTACTTTTTGCATTTGAAGCTCTACTCTGCAAGATCAAATATAAGTGTCTTTTCATTACAAATATTTGAGGAAATTGAATTAAAGATTGTGCATAGGTCAGCTGTTACATTCTGTCAACCAGCTTCTTCCAGTCTTCATTTTCTATATCCCTTACACCACAGAGTAAGCATAAGAATCAAAACTTATTTCTCTTTTAAACCGTTCAAACTATTACTACCACTTATGAAACACTACTTGTTTTTATGATCCAAGACTTGGGAATCCCGATTTACTACATGCATGCAACAGTCTGTATTTTTTCTTTCATCTTTAAGAAAGTAATCATCTATTTGGCTAAGAGCAGAGCAATAATTTAAATAATCTTCTACAAGTTTATTTACACTGTAAATGTAGTAGTGATTTTTCAAATCTGTTCAAGACTTCCACAAGTCAAAGATTAATTTCTATAACCTGCATAAGATGAAGAAGACGTCCACCTGCTGCTGTCTCCCCATCATCTTCACAATCCTGTAAGAATGTCTGCTTATCTTCGCAGTATATTCTTAAAAAAAGGAAAAAACCCCAAAAAATTAACATAAAATAGATTCAAAAAATGTCAATCAACTAACATTTTTACATGATTAATGAAGTCTCAGGGATCTTTCATATGCATGTGTATCAATTTAACTCTCTACTAAGGACATCTACATGAAAACAGGATGAGGCTTAGGGTAAACCACAAGTATTTATCTGTACAGTATGACAAGTTTTGAGAAGCTTTTACAGAGACTTTAGCTACTTCAGGTTAACTCCAGACTAATTACCAGTATGAAATTCCTAATAAGAAAAATCCTTATTAGGTTTTCAGCCTAATAATTATGCCTAGCTAAACCCAACTCTATCAGATACATGTTTAAGTTACGGTATGTACCCACAAGTTGGAAGAACTCAGACAAAAATATCATGAATAATTAGTTAGGTCTATAGTTAAGCAGCAGCATGAAACTATTACTGAAATCCACCTTCAGATTCTCCATGCCATCTCCTTCCTCAGGGGACAGTCCAGGAAACTTTGGGGTGTATTGTTTTATATAAAGGTCTAATTTTCCAGCAGTAATGCTCAGAGGTCTACTGGGTTTTACCAAGCGATTCCATAACTTCTGAACTTAGTTAACAGACATATAACACAATGACAAAGAGGCTTGTGGAACTAGGTGACAAATATGAAGCAGTAAGTACATTTCTGTTGCTTTTTTGAAGTGTATTTAGATAGTATGAGTGAGAGAAGCCAGATCACCATCAGCAATGACAGAAATCCCCTCTCTATAGAAACCTTTTACTTCAGTAGACTTTTTGGTAAAGTAAGATTTCACTTGCTCTCATTTCATGTTTCATTAGCATCACGCCAGGACGTGCATGAATGGATCAGTGTCTATACATGTTTTTTCAGATGGCTGGTTCCTCCAGTTCACTGTCACCCACATTGCTCAGAAAACCTATATCACTATCTGGACTGAGACCAATTCATTTCACATAAGCTATGTCCACAAAAGTTGCCAGAAACAGACCATTACCAAACTCATTTTTACCTGTTTCTCATTTTCCCTTAAGTTTCTCATATTTCATCTGTAACTTCATATGCCAGATGTCTGCATCAGGCTTTCTGTTTCAGCTCTTATTTCAACTAAAAATTTCCAGCTATTTCTAAATATAAAAATATAAAGTGGGGGGGAGAGGAGAGAAAGTTACTTTGCCCAAGTGAAAACACATTCAGTTCAGGATGATGTAGCATTTCTACACTCACACATACTACACAAAGTATAACACATGTTCAAATCTACTTTTAGTCTTTTTTTATTTCTAATGCAGCTTTACTATCTTAACATATTTCCTACTATATGTTCTACTTTGCTGACCTCAAATTCAAAATGAAGCCTAAAACCTTTACCGTACAAATAAGAAACCTACTCCCATAAAGATTTAACACCAAGGAATTTATTTGATGGATTTTATTTTCTCATGTCCTGCATTCATTAAAGAACAAAAAAAACAACCAACCAAAAAGAAAATTACTATTCATCTCTCACCTATATGCATATATGTTGTGGGTAGCACTTGCAATTTTCTTATTCTCATACAGTTTTTCAAGAACTCTTTTTACCTTTAAAAAAACAGAAATAAATTTTTAAAATGGGGATTTCATACACATCATCTCAATATCACTGCTAAACAAACATCTCCTTAATACTACAATGAAACATTGTTACACTTTGACATAAAATTAATATTCAGTGTGATTAACTCAAGAAGCAGCTTCTCAGTACCCTCATGCTAGTTTCAAATCATTTTCTGAAATACTGAAAACAGCTGAATTTGTACATTGTGTACTTTCATGTTATTGCTGAAAATGTCAAAGTGTCAAATCACTTGACTAAGCAAGAGAGACAGTAAGATCTAGAAAACATTTTTAATCATATTAAAGTATCGATTACTCCTGCCTACTTTTTAAAACTATAGCATCAAGGTGGAACACAACACAACTTGACACACATTTTTCTATCGCACGCTGCTTTTACCTGTTTCACAAAACACCTGATGTTTAGAAAGCTCTACTACATTTCGTTTTAAGTTTTTCCTTTTTCCTCAAACATATTTTTTTTCCAGAGTTTATATTTCACAGAAAGAATAATTAAAAAAATGTCCTATTATGGATCTGAAAGTGTCAGTATTTCCCAGAAAACAGATATTCCCACCATTTCCATCTCTGCTCCTAAGAAGCACCAAATTAAAAACACTTATCAGTATCAATTCATCTTCTGTTTCTAATTAAACAAGCTAGCAATTGTTCGACATTTTCCAATTTGGTCTAGCAAAAAGGAGAGCTTTGATCAAGACATTGTTTTAGTACATAATACAAAATTAACATTACTTTGAGTGAAACATTACTGAAGCTGAGAAAGCTTGGGAAAACATGCTTGCCCAGGAAATTGCCTTCCACTCCAAAGAAAACTGTCTCTGAGGAGTATTCAATATACATATTTAATAACTATCTTAGCTATACTATGCTATTTCCAATTCTTCTGGAAGAAATTCAACTTACAAAAATCACCTCAAATATAAGGTACCTCAATGAAAAAACTCCTATTATTAATGCTTCAGACACCTGTTTTCTCCATTCTTCTCCTCTAAAGGGCAACATTGAAGAAAGATGGCTTATATTACTTAATACACTTTCCTAAATACATTTCAATACATGGACTTGGGGTACACAAAGCATATGAAATTATCATCACCTTTTACATTAGTTATTGGTCAGCTACCAGGCTCCTAAAAACATACCTTAAAGATTCATTATGTGTCTGTATTAGCAATGAACCCCCAAGACAGACATCTTACAGCTAAGCAATAGTTTATCCTTTTTCCTGTTGTAGCTCCTGAGCCTTTTTTCCCCCCTCCTGTTTCCCTCTCTATTATTCCTGCATTAGGCAATTAAGGGATGCAATTCTCTACATGTCGATGAGGCACCTGCTCATAAAAGACACAAGATGCTTAAACAACAGATCAATTCTTAGTCCCACTTTACTAAATCAATGTCAAGTCCAAGAACCACATACATTTTACATGTCAGAATAAGCCAAATTGAGACAAGGAAAAGCAATGGTACCAAACATAGCCTGCTACCTGAAATATGCCTATCACTTTCTTTGCCTCATAAGGTTTATGGTAACATGTTCTGTTACATAAGTAACTACAGTATTACTCTGGCTATCATTACTAAAAACTATATTAGAACTTCCACTAATAAAAATACTCAAAGGAATTCACACAGCAAACTGTGTACTGTCTTAAAATATCAATGAACATCATTGCAGCATATAGATTATGCAGATAAGGTACCACGGACACACACTAATCTCTTCGGCTGGTAAAGAAGCTAGCCTTCACCTCAGGTGCAGTGTTTACCCCATTCCTCACCTCCTTTGGCTTTCTCTCATAAAAAGGAGCCCAGCCATGGTAAAGCTTCCCTGCAGCCTGAAGACCAATCAGCTCACACTGTACAGCAAGACTCTGTAAAACGCTTGGGGAATTGCTCTATCTTTATACTAAACACATATCAATTAAGTCTTGACTGGAAATTCCTAGGTTTATTGAGTATATGTTATCTTCAAAAAAAAAAAAAAGTCTAAAAGAAGAAATTAAGAATGTCTTTGTTTGCAAAAGGGGAAGTACTACACTGCTTAAGTGAGTGCTATTTTGTGATACAGACCTGCCATTTTGGAAACCCATGTGTGGGTACAGACTTCTTCATAAGTAGGAACAATCTTACTCATAAATCATGATCAAAGAGCAAGTGGTTTTTTAGAATGAGAAAAGGACTTTAAGCCAACAATTCTAATTTTTTCCATTTCTAAAGCAATACAGTTCATAGGGGCTCAAAGTTCATAGGGACTGAGCACAGCTAAGAAAGCCCCTGAAATGCAGTGCTACTTTAATGAAAATGGTAACATACTGAGTATTTTAAAACACATTATTATTCCACGTTAACCTAATGAATAAAATTACTTTCACTTTGCAAGCAGTAAAAGAAAAGCTCAAAAAAGCGGAGTGTGTTCAAAAATGCTCAAGTTGCATCCAGATAGAGAAAAATAAGATAGGTGTCAAGATAGATGTGAAAAGCACAGCACAATTTTGAAGGTGAAAAATTACTAATTTTTTTTTCCTCAAACACATAAAAAGCTGAAGCTTACCACAGTTCCGTACTGCCAGAAGACAAATACAATATATATAAAAAAGAATCACTTAAAGAAGGTACAGCTGTAGCATAAAAACCTAAATGAATGTACAGTATTTATGAACTTAAAAGGTCAGGCAAGGATGATGTAGTGGAGCCTAACCACAGAATAGGGTTGAGCAAGCTAATAAAAAGAATAGAAATAAATCAGCAAAACCAGATCATACTTATTTAAAAGTTCAAAGGGAATCGGAGTATGAAGCTGTTGAACTATAGCTCAGATATCTAACCTACCAGTTAAAACTGTTTCTGCAGCAGAAGATGACTGATGTGATACCAACATCTCAAGAGCACTCCAGGAAGGATGTAGGGAACTAAAGACCAACAAGTTTTACGTCCATACTAGGCAAACAAATGGAGGTGAAGTAAAACCAAAAAAACCCACAGATAGCTTAAAATGTTACAGCTTTTGTGTAGAGAAATATGCCTCATAACTCTGTCAATCTGTCAACATCCTTTCAGAGTCACTGAGCATGTAGCTGATCTAGTTTATCTGGAATTTCAAAAAGCACTTGACAAGATCCCCTACCAAAAATTCTTAAAATAAAAGCTAGAATTGGATAAAAGGAAAGAGGAAAATCCTCTCAAGGTTTAACTCTCAGTTAATGACAAGAAAAGATGAGTACCTCAATAGATCCCACACTAAACAGGGATCATCAAAGGAGATTGATGTTAATAGATGCAAAGTGATGTACAAAGTGACTCCAAACTAGCAATTAGCATTTGCAAAACAAGATCTTGGGGTTACAACAGGCATTTCTTTGAAAACACCACTCAATGCTCAGTAGAGGTCAACAAATTAAACCAAAAGGTATTACTAGGAAAAGGACAGCGAAAACAGAAAAACTCTTCACACCACTCTATAAATCCTTGGGAGTGATTGCATCTTCAGTGTGGCATATAGTTCTAGTCTGCATCTTAGAGAGGCTAGAGCATACGTTATATGTACGGAACAGCCTACATCTACAAAGCACCAAAACAGACTGGGGGTCTTCAGCCTGGAAAACAGAAAACTAAGGTCTATAAAACATGACAGATGTCTATAAAAATCCAAATTGCACAGAGAAAACTGAGAGGCACAAACAACAAAGTAATGAGTGACTGGTTCACAGCAAACACAGGAAGGCGTATTTTCATACAATATTCTTGATTCTGAAAGCTAATTCTGGTGCAAGAAGCGATTGAACAAATTCTACAGAGGCTAAAAAAAACCAAACCAAACAGCAATACTAAACACATGGATACTTTCTTTACCTTGTGTTAAACTGCTGAAAGAGGGGAAGCATGATAGGAAACAAAATGTAGCTGCCATTTTCTGGCACTCTGTCTAGGTCTACACTCACCACTGATTCCAGTAAGAGACAGGAACTAGTGCAGACTTTTTTCCAGCTGTAGGCAAATACAACTCCAGAAACATGCTTAACCCTCTAACTTAGGTCTATAATGCATGAATATATCTTCTTATCCAAGTGTATTTTTCAACTTAATTCCTTTCCGAAGGAGGGAAAACATTTATAAACTCATTTTAGTTCATTTTCCAAGTAACACATGGCAGACTCAGTAGCTTCCAAATATCATACGATAAACCTGCCAACATCTGCAAGTCAAATTTTGATGTTCCTGTTCTTACATCTAATGCACTTAATGGTAAACAATAGCAGGAAGCACTGCAGAGCTGGTATTTGGAGCTATTTAGCTGACAGAGAAAGTGAGAAACTGATGACTACTCAGACAATATTAGCACAGAAGGATTCAAAGACAGACATACATGTTTGGCTAATCCCAAGCATTTCAGTAATATTTTGTCAAGTTCACAGCACAGACAAAAAGAGTAGAACTGATCTCTACTAACTTGTCTGGGTGTCACCACAGGAGCCAGATGTGCCTGGAAAGTACTCCTTCGATCTGTGATTGGGTTTCCATGATGTATGGATGGCAGTTCTTCATCTACTGATCACAAACAAGGAAGTGTTTGTTTTCTTTTAAGGGTACTGAAACAATGTATAAGGCTACGTAAGTAAAGAATGTCTCAACTTTAAAAAAGGAATTTGTTAAAGTTAAGTATGCAAGATGACATACAGAACCACCAAAAATATGTTGGTTTTTTTTACGACTGTTATTAATATTTATTATGAAATTAACGTTATTAATTTTACTCAAAAGCAGAGTAGAAAACCAGAATCTTAAGGCCCCTCTGCTCTAAATTATTTCATCAGAATTGATAAGGGCATGTTTTTTTACCTTCTTGACTTTTAGATGTAACGTAATTTAACATTTTAATTGGATCCTCCTGAATGGGTTGATAGTCTAGGAGAAAATCATCTCCATCATCTTCATCAACTTCTTCACTGGTTTTCTTAATATCTGGCTCTATTAAGATACGAGTAGTAGAATTTATTACTCTCTTTCTGTGAGACAAGTAAGACAAAATTTCAAATTCTTTTTCTCAAAAATCTCTGGCTTTTCAGTTCAAATCTGTTTGCCATTAAGAATTGTGAAATGCAGAATAGTAACACAAATTGTTAGTCTAGTATTAACTAAAATCTTGCTTAGAATTAGTTATACAATACTCATGCTATGGGATCCTCACATAATATCTTCTGTTTCAAGCCTAATTAACAGTATTTCTAAGAAGAAAAGAACAATAATGTTTATCATTTCCATTAAACATTTACAATGCTACCATTATTTTAATCTGAATTTAGAGACCAAAATAATCTGATGTTTCACAAGAACTCCAGTCACTTATTGGTCATTTGGGGAAAAAAGTAGGAGCTGTTGCTCAATGTTACTTTATGAGTTTATAAAATCATTACATTTGAAACATCTCTCTGGACATGTTTCAAGCACCCTGGAATTCCAAAACCCCTACTTTCCTTCATGCATACCACATACAAAAAACCAATAGTCAATAGCAAGAGGGTAAATATCACACACAGTTATTGCTCAGGCAACTGGATTTAGAAGGAATCTATCATACAGACAAGTTAATATATCACAATCTAATTTCCTATTTAGAGGGCTTACGAGATGTGGTGATGATGCATTTTTTATAACATAGCTATTTTCAATAAAAAAGCAGAGGGGTGATAGAGCATGTTCAAAAGGTCTAGAAAAATCATTACATGTATTAAGTAGATGCCACAAGGTTGCTGTTGAAATACCCAACAAACTTGCAATATCGTCAGTGAAATTTTCACTTGTCAGTATCCACTCCTTCAGTCATGTCAATGAAAAATGACTCTTCAAATGTCTGTGATGTAGCAACAAAATGCAGTTTACTGAAAAATTAAAACTAGGCCTTATCATGAAGAAGCACTGAAAATGTATGTATTTTTTTTCCTTTTCAGTCTTTTATTCCTCACAGAACTAAGCTAACATCCATGACATAGAAAAATAGTTCTATTTCCTTTTGCCACAAGTGCATGCATGCATGTCACTCATGCATTTCATAGCAGTTTAGCATTTTAATGCAAAAAAAACCCCACCACTTTTTGAAAGAACTACTGTGAATTTACACAAACTGTCACTGTAAGAGTAACAGCAGAAGAATCACTGCAACTCTAGTGATGATGTACTTATAGTATAGTAATATAGTAAAATGCAATTAAGATGGAATAGTTGGTCATTTGTCTGCACATTCCACTGAAGTTTATCTTCTCTTGAGGTTAATTCCAATCCTCCAAGAGTGCACTCAACAGCAGAAATTACTGATATGACTGATTCCTTTGCAGAACAGAGGACAATGAATAATGTACCTGTGTGCAGCACTCTGCTTTCATGCAAGTAATTTAATTCCTAAGAGAACTGAGGACCTTGTTCTAGTTCACTGAGGCCAGCTCCTTCCTTTTTTTTCCCCTACTGCTCTTTAAAAAGGGAAGCTATCACTGTAAAACAATAAGCCATGACAGTGAAGATTGTTGCTTTCTGTTATTTAGATCCAATACAAAACTGGACATAAAGCTTTAACTTGTAATAAAATCCTACTTTGCAGTTAAAAATTAGTAAACTAAAAAACCCGTGCATTTTCTGTACCTGGATCTGATGACTGTGCCTTTTCTATCAGAACTTCTCGTATCTTCTCCACCCATAAATAAAGTATACTTTCACCAAGGTTCTGCCTGGAAGTTGAAATTCACAGTGAATAAAGAATCATTTTTGTGGCTTTCACTTGGAAAGCACATCAAATAACATACCGATTTCAGACACACACAAATAGAACATTATAATCTAGTGAGATAAAGAGCTTAGACAGTCTTGTGGGAAGTTCTGTCTTAGTAGTTCACTGGGTCAAACACATATCTGCATCATTATATACTCTCTTTGTGGCTTTTTTTTTTTTTTTTGTTTGTTTGTTTTAACATTAAAGCACCAATGCTGGAGGAAAACAGGCAACTGACAGAAACTTTTTGGCCACTAAAGACAGGGAAAGCAACTGCAAGAAGAGTACGTTGGACAGTCCTCAGTATTGTCAAAAGAATACTAAGCCAGGATGTCTAGCCTTAGAGCTTGCTCTGGATCAGTTTTCTCTACAGAAAGTACCATACTGCCAGTGGTCAGCCCCTTCAGCCACTTTGTGATAGCAGGTCAGTGGCAGTAGACACAGCAGAGCACTGGACTTACATGTCAGAGTTTGGGTAAGAAGCAGTCCTATAGGCCAGGGAGGTAAGGATTTAGGTCTAAGGAATAAGGAGTCCTTAGTCAGGGGGCACAGGTGTGTATTAAGGTACTGGGGGAGGACGGGATGAACACAGTTTTTACGTGCATATTCAGAGTTAATAAATGCTGCCTTAATGTGCAGCAGGACCCAAACAACCCAAGAGGTATTTCAAATGGTGTCCTGAAAAGATGGCTTTGTAATTATAGTTTAATATGTTTATGAACCGTACATGTTTGTCTCAAAAACAAAACTAAAGATTTGGAGCTGTCAGTACCTCACATTTTCTCATTAATTTTATTCTTGCTGCCACCATCTGGGGCACCACATAAGTACATATCAGTAATGGAATTACGTTTTTAAATTCTTACTTTGCTTAATGTATACAGCACTATTCCTGAATGCAATCAGAAATTCAAACAAATATACGTATTTTAAGAAAAATATTCAAGCAAAAGTAAGGAATTTATAACCTTGTAGCTCTGTCTTCAAAACCTGGACAGACTTCAGAACAATTCAATGCCTTGATTTCATGCTGCTACTTACTATACAGAAGCACTACTTTAATACACAAAGAACTTTCTTTTAATGATGGAATGAGAGATATTAGACAATGAATAAGATTTCTCTGTTGTGCGCAAGTAAATCACAATTTCTTCAGCTATAACCCAATTTCAGTGTCTGCCTATTCAGAAATTACACTTAGTCACAAAGGTTACCTTTCTATATTGCTCTTTTTCTTGTCACTTCTGTCTAAGTCATGAAACAAAGCTTTGTATTGAATAAAAGTCTTACCAGAAGAATATCTGGATTAAAAAAAAAAATCCAAATACTTGCTACATTTTTAACTTCTAACAACTTTGTGTCTCCCAAAACAGACTTGTGATGTCTACTTATCCGCTTTTTCCACCTCCTTAAGATGACACTGACACTATGTTCATACTGGTTTAGATTGCAGAACTGAGCAATTTAGATCACTAGGGACTTGAAACCTGGTAAAACACACATTACAAATGATGCAGAGTACCTCTGTTTACCTGACAACTAGTTAGACACTGGATAGATAAAAGGCTTTGACAAACACTGTGCACTTCAGTGACTATTCCAGAAGGTTTTAAAACAGTCTAAAATGACGTATATGGCCTAAAGTATAAACGCATTAATTTCCTCCTGAACAAACAAAAATGAGAGACCAGAGAGAGCAACTGGTATAGACAGAACGGAGCTGCAAGGGACTGATCTAACTAGCACAATTTAAAAGCCTACAAGACTGCATGGGGAAAAGAAAAGAAAAAAAAGGAGAAAAAAAAAGTGCTTCACAACCATGCTATTTCTCCTCATGTGGCAACTTATGCCAGATGTTCAGGACATTTGAGGAACTACCTACAGCAGCTCTACCTCTGGTAGAGACTCCAGCAAATCTTATGAATCCGGACAGAATTAAGGACAATCTCTGTCCTTTTTGCTCCACTGAACACCTGTGGTTATTATGATCCCATAGAACTTTTCACTTAAAAATCCTTGTGCATTTTTAACACTTCAGATTCAATTTTGTTTGCTTAAATTATCTGTTGCATAATTAGATAAGAAACCCAGTCAATCAAAGTAAATTAGTAATTAAATAAAAAATCCTCATGCAAGCTAAGAGCTCTCTTCCTTATTTTACAGCATTAAAAAACGTTTCTTATCCAAGACGTTCAGGTTTCAGTATTTTGGGCATGACTGTGCTTCCCTATGACATACCTTTATATTATCTTTGGGATGTGGAAGTATTAAGTAAACTGTATAAAATCACTACATTTACTACCCCAATTTCATAGCAATTCAAAAACATGTAATTTGAGTATTTCTAAACATTCCTTTTATTCTCATGCATTCATTGTACGTTGTTAGCTGCACACTGTTATAATAACCAGTCGGCTACGTTACAGATTCTAGTTAATAGATTCTACACGATTTTAATTTGGTTTAAAACCTACTTATCCCTTAGCTATCTTTTAAGAAAAAACTGGTTTGCCACTTACACTCCAAGATATCTACAAATATTTTCACATCCTGCAGTTTAACATTCAAATGCAGAAGAGATGCAGAAATGTCATACTTCATAGCACCAATTCATAAGAAATCTCACAGGTTCTAAAGGGAGTCAAAATGAAGACTTCTATCCTTATAGAACACCAGGTCCAAACAATATAAAATAAATTTGCCAGAGTTCAACACAATCCGTTCTTGCAAAATGCTTAGTAAATACACGACATTTTTAACTGTTAGATTTATAAAAAGAAACTTGCTGGTTTATGGCTATTGCAGCAATCACTTCACAACTACTAGTTCATGCAGGTACTTCAAAAGCACACCAACTGAGCAGGGCATAAAACTGAAAATACATGGTGCTCTTCTACTCTATTCCACAGTCTCTAACTTACACATATATTTCTTCCAAGCTATTTGCTAGTTCCGTATAATCTTGTCCTCGAAGCCAAGGGGCACTAGAATGAAAAGAAATACAGTGAAAGTTGTGCCCATATGCTGATTCCAACATCTCAAACATTCATTTTAAAGGAAACTTGATAAACACCTTGAAAATAAAACATTGTCAATCATTCCCACTTAGCAAGATTCCAGTTGTAAACATCTTGGTGAAAACATGATCACCTAGTTCTCCTTCAAGACTCCTGATTTGGGCTGCCTTTTCTTACCTCAGGCAGGAAAGCTGGACTCATTTTTCATGGTAGGCCACTGTCACTCCAGGGTCACCTTACGTATTATTAGTTTACTTTTCCAACTCCTTCAGCACCATAGTACCTATTATACTTAGAATGACCCTTTGGTTCTGTACCTGTATCCTCCTGGTCTTGTGTTAAACTACAAGCTTTGCCTCAAGTTTATCAGCGCTATTTGGTATTGTCTCATCAATAATGTTGACTGAAACTCAGTAGATACGCTGTGTGTCACGCCCTGCAGGTCCCTCTATCACCCAAATCAGGGACCTGGCTTATGCATGTGTAGTCCCATCTCATTTACATGTCAGGAGACAAGGGGAGAGCGGGGAAGGAAAATAGGAAGCTGGCACATGACATGGCTCCATCCCAAGAAGAGTCAGTGCTCAGATGAAAAGCACGCCTTACAATCTGAAACAAGGATCCAGAAAAGAGGGGTACAGCCAAGGAAGCGGATGAGACATCACTGTCCAACACAACAGGCAGCAGCCACCATACCTCCACAGCCTAATTGCTGCCCTGACACAAAATAATGCTGCAAGAATTAGAGTTCAGGGATGGGAGCAAACTGTCATAGGGAGCTCCATGAGGCTAACTCAGGAGAAAGAATAGAATGTTCTTGCTGGAAACATCCCCCATCCCCAGTATAGTTTAATTCAAGGAGTCAACTAAACTTCAACTTACACTATAAAGAATTAACAGTAGTAATTCAGAAAAGAAATACAAACATTTGAAAGAAAACTTCACTTACTTCAGTTGATAAATAGGTGGCTCTGCAGTTGGATATCCTGGCGGCAAAATCACCTGAAAGAAATTCAGGGTAAGTATTCACCGGACAACTACTCTCAGCTAGCTGACCCTTACTGATGGACTCTGATGTCAAGCTCTAGGACTACTAGCACTGTTACAAATGAAGTAAATACTTGGCTACGTTGTTACAGAATTACAAGAAAACCTGAATAGCTGTATTTAGGATTCCAATAATGGTAAAGCATACAAATATTATATTTCATGGTGAAATTTTTGTGGATGAAGTGTCATGCAAAATAAAGTGCAGAAAAAATTTGAAAGGAGCTGCATACATGGTTACTGGACTTATTTAAGTAGCACTGAGCTTCCATAAGTAGACACTTCAGTGTTCCTTCCAACAAGTAAACTTACTGTTTTCAGTTCTGTAAACACAGAGTAGCAAGTTACTCAGTTAATTTGATCTGAATTCCATTTTGCCTCCACACTTTCCAGAAAGTAAAATCTAGAAGCTACTGCAGCAGATTGACTGAGGTATCCTACACAAAGTCAATGTAAAAAAAAAAAAAAAATTTAAAATTTGTCTTTGGAGAATAACACTGAAAGTAGTTTTTGTCAGGTATGGAATTAGGATATGTAACTAATGAAAACGTCACAAGCTTATTGATGTGTTACAGGAACAATCACTGAAAAGTCTGTCACAGATTCCTATCTAAAAGCTCCTTAATCCTTCCAAGTAGGTATTGAATACGCTTGAAAAGGGTTTCATACAGGCACAAGATTTTGCCTGCATCAGTTCAGCCGCAAATTCTGTGCCAAACTCCTTAACACCACTATACCTGCAGACAGAGGGTCCATTTTGGCCGATCCAGACAATCATTAATCTTAATGCAATAGATCTTTTCAGCTTCATCAACAACACACCAGTCTTCACCATATATGGATGAAAGGGCTTCAATTTCATCAATCTAGAAAAAGCATTATGCAAAGATTAGTAACACCAACCGCCCCCCCCAAAAGCCCACAACCTTCGGTGCCAATCACAGTTTTAAGTTTTTTTAAGTTTTTAAGCTCTTCTGCAGCTTATTTACAAACGTGATGAGGCTCAGTAGCCTGAAAGGCCGTAAGTGTTGGGGATCCCATCCCCATGCACAGCATAAGTAAACTTTGCTCCCTTCTTCCATACAAACACCAGCCTTCGCACTTCTGCGGATAACCCTGGAATGCTCAGCATGCGGATAACCCTGGAATGCTCAGCATGCGGATAACCCTGGAACGCTCGGCAGCGACAAGGTGAGCAAAGTGACACGGAGCAGCTACAACACCTCCCCGCAGCTCCCAACCAGCGCCACTCCTAGCTGGGTCATCCCCCGGCAGGAGAAAAACCCCACGGCCCTGGCAATAATGCTTATGAGGACTGAATACATTTATCCAGCAAATTCCCATAAAAAAAAATAAAAATAAAAATAAAAAAAAAAACAAAAAAACAAAAAAACAACCGGACAGCCACCTTCCCCCTAG